AGAGAGAGAGAGAGAGAGAGAGAGAGAGAGAGAGAGAGAGAGAGAGAGAGAGAGAGTGTGTGTGTGTACCTGGTATTTATCATGTTATGGGGACATTTTTGAGGTCCCCATAAGGAAACAAGCTTATAAATCGTACAGAATGAATTTTTTTGAGAAAGTAAAAATGCAGAAAGTTTCCTGTAAGGGGTAGGTTTAGGGGTAGGGTTGGTGTAGGGCAATAGCATATACAGTTTGTAGAGTATAAAAACCATTACACCTATGGAATGTCCCCATAAAACATGGAAACACAACATATGTGTGTGTGTGTGTGTGTGTGTGTGTGTGTGTGTGTGTGTGTGTGTGTGTGTCGTAGGGCTGTAGGGATCACACGGTAGGACCGTACTGTGATCATTGTGCTCCTGGATACTACGGAGACGCCACCAGAGGAACTGCAGAAGACTGTCAGCCATGTGCTTGTCCTCTTCTGAACCCATCAAACAAGTACGTCAGCACTGATGTCAAGAAGTCATGACATCAGAACCTACTAGTGGTCAACTGATATATCGCCAAGGCCGATATTTGGCATTTTTCAAATATCGGCATTGGCCGATAAGTTTTCCTGTTTGGCCGATGCGTTTAAGGTGCGCCGGACTTTTATTTTGACTGCACTGAGAGCGACAGCGCCTGAACACACAGTGCTCACATTCTCCTCCTCTTGTTCGCTGTTGTCGTTAACAGTTCTGTCTAAATACGGATAGAAGTCTGTCTAATTATCAGATAGAACGGTTAAACAAAGGAATTAAAATGTATACAGAAAGCCTTATAACGATTGTTTTTATATTATTAGTAATAGAATGGCAAACATTATAATACTTTCTTGTTTGCCGTCAGCATTCAGCAAATACGCATTTATATCATTTAAACAAATCTTTGAATGTCTAATAAACATCTAATTTCAAAAACCTTGCAAACTTAGCCAGATCCAGTTGTGAGATCTTGTGAAGTGTGCATGTGACCTGCACGATCGTGTGTTCTCTGTGTAACGGTCGGTCCGTGTGAATTGAATGCGGACAGGAGGAGAGTTCAGCTTCACTGAGGCACGTGATCGGCAAACTTTAAGCTCATGATTTTAAATTATGATTTTTTTATGCATTTGCCCACTGTCATATTCATGTCATTTTCACTGTGTGCTGTATGTAAAATGAGTGTTACCTTGGCTTTATTTGAAAAAAATATGATTAATGCACACAAACTTCCCAGAATACTGAGTGCCCTGTTGGTTACAGTGTTTACCTTTTTAATTATATTTTTATTAAATATTTATTTATTTGTGAAAAATACTATGTCATCTAAAGTATAAGTATGTTTAACAACTTTATTTTTTTATAAATTTTCAAATGATTTCAAATTTCTTAAATATGAATTAAATTAAATTATATCAGCTTTATATCGGCCATCGGCCACCCTGCTTTCCAAGATATCGGCATCGGCTGTCAAAAAACCCATTAACCCTACAAATAAACACCATCAATAATCAAAGTATTTTCAGAATATTACTGTATATAACTATTATGTTCTCCTATATTACATACATGTCCTCCTGAGACCCAGCCGTATACTTTTTCCTCTGTAAAAGACAGTATATTTGAGCATATTTCTCACAGTTAGTCAAAGTTTTGAGTCTGGATTTTCAGACTTTTCAGACATACCACATGTTTGAAGGATTGACCATGAAAACTCCCTCTCCTTAGTCTTTAAAATTATTGACATTGACTGAATCACTGAATTCAGCACTCTTATGGAAATATGATCATATTTTTGTAATTATCATTTATCATATCATCATGACTAATTTTCAAATATGAGATATTCTTATGAAAATGTTAAAAATGTATAATCATTCTGTAATATATTTAATAACATAAATCATCTTTGTAAAGATTTTCAATAAAAAAAAGAAGCTTGGAACCTAAAAATGGATTGGTGGATGAAAAAAAACAGTGTTTTTGCCTATAGGTCCTATAGTGCATAGCATAAAATATCAATAAAATATATTTTTTCATAAAACAAATTTCCCATTTCTTTCTTATGCTCCAAACAATGACATGACATAGGAAAACAAAAAAAAATTTATCTGGGTCTCAGGAGGATATAATATTTATGTTTCATATTAACAATGAGGATCTCAATTACCATGACACATTCACTTACACTCAATTTAAATTCAGAGTTTCAAGTAAAAAAGAAAAAAAAACGATTGTACTGTATAACTAAATCAAAATAACAGAAATAAACCCAGTACTAAATGTCTCCAGGTTACGTATATAACCATGGTTCCCCGAAGGGAACGAGACGCTTTGGGAACACCCCGGCGAGACCATGTAAAAAAGCATGTATGAAATCAGTCCAATAGAGAAGCGAGACGTCACGAGCAGGGTGACGTGAGCAACCAGGAAGTATAAAAGCGCATCTGGCAAATGCACATGTTAGCTTTTGCGGAAGGGAGCGCCTGCAGGGATGCTGGGAATATGGCAGAAAGACGCAGCATTTCTTTCCCTTCGGGGAACAATGGTTACATACGTACCCTGGAGACGTTCCCCTTCAGGAACTCGAGCTGCGTCTAAACGCTTTGGGAATGAGAATACCCGCTGCGCCATACGAGTAAGTCCCTGTCAAGTTTGTATCTGGTGAGCACACCAAGACGAGAGAACCTGGGACCCTGGAGTAGATGTAAATTGTAAAATCGGACAAATGTGTGCAGAGAGGACCAGCCCTCCGCAGCACAAATATCTTGAAGGGCCACGCCCACTGATAAAGCATTGGAGGCCGCCATACTCCTAGTCGAGTGCGCCCGATGGGTGACTGGAGGCCAGAGGACTCGTAGGCCAGTGTGATGGTCTCGACCACCCACCTACTCATAGTTTGCTTACAGCCCCTTTCTTAGGTGAACCAAAGCAAATGAATAACTGATCTGCCTTACGCCACTGGGCAGCTCTGTGAACGTAAGTGAGATTGAGTCTTTCCTGGCCTGTTTTCTGGAAGGGAGGAGGACAAAAGGCTTGTAGTACTACAGGACCCGGCGAAGAAGTGGGCACCTTAGGGACATACCCGGGTCTTGAGTAAAGGAACGCCCTAACCATGCCCGGGGCAAACACCAGGCATGATAAAGTGAGTGCCTGCAGATCCCCTATCCTCTTCAGTGAGGATATGGTGAGTAAGAAGATCGTATTCAGCGTTAGCAGCTTGTCAGAGATATCTTCAATGGGTTCGAAAGGACACAAAGCCTCCAGAACCACCGCCAGGTCCTATGAGGGCACCTTGTTGTGCTGTACTGGCCTCAGCCTCCGAGTGCCATGGAGGAAACGTGTAACTTACGGGTGTCTTCCCAATGACTGACCATCTAGAAGGGTGTGGTAAGCAGCTATGGCTGCCATGTATACCTTCAGACTGGAGGGCGATAACCCTGCGGAGAAATGCACCTGCAGAAACTCCAGAACTTTACCAACTCGGCAGTTGACTGGGACTTGCAGTCGCTGTCCGCACCAAGAAGTGAAAAGTCTCCACTTCAATGCATACAGTTTCCTCATGGCAGGAGCTCTGGACTGGAGTATGGTCTCAACAACCTCAGTAGAGACACTGGATGCTAGGAGCTGTGCCCCCTCAGGGGCCACGCCCCCAGGATCCATAACTCCAAGCGGGGGTGAAGAATGGTGAGAGGAGCCTGAGAGAGGAGATCCCTCCTGATTGGAATCTCCAACGGAGGGCCGTCGAGGAGGGACACAAGGTCTGAGAACCATACTCGGTTGGCCAGAATGGGGCTACTTACAGAAGATGGAACCCATCCCGGCATACTCTCTCCAGAACTCCCGGAAGCAGAGCGATCGGGGAAAAAGTGTACAGACAGAGCCTCGGCCACGTCTGCACCATGGCGTCCAGCCCAAGTGAAGCTGGATGCATGAGGGGGAACCAGAGTGGACAGTGTGTTGTTTCCTGCGACACAAATAGATCCACTTCCGCCTGGCCGAACTCCCTCCATAGGAGCTCCACCACCTCTGGGTGGAGCCTCCATTCCTCAGGCCTCAGCCCCTGTCTCGACAGGATGTCTGCTCCCTGATTGAGGTGCCCAGGGATGTAGACTGCTCTGATTGAGAGGAGCTTTCCCTGAGCCCACAGGAGGATATGTTGCGCCAGCCTGTAAAGGGGGCGAGAGCGCAGACCCCCCTGCCGGTTGATGTCGGAGACCACGGATGTGTTGTCTGTGAGGACAAGTACATGATGTCCCCTTAGGTCTGGAAGTAAGTGTTTTAGAGCTTGAAACACGGCCAGCATCTCCAGGTAGTTTATGTGCCACATAAGATGATAGCCTTCCCTCCGACCTTGGGCAGAGCGGCCACTCATGACCGCTTCCCAGCCCGTGAGGGAGGCATCTGTCGTTAGCATTACGCGACGACAAGGAGCCCCCAATATCGGCCTTGAGACAGGAACCAAGGTTTCCGTTCACATGTATAAGGCACATAAACATCGCCGCGTGACCTTGGTCCTATCACGTTGGACGCAGCTGCCATCAGACCCAACAGTCTCTGAAACTGTTTGACAGTGAGTGACTGGCCTTTTCTCACTCCGCTCATGGCTGTGAGAATTGCTTCGATACGAGAAGGAGACAACTGTCCCTGCATCGTTGTCGAATCCCACACCACACCCAGATAAGTGGCACTCTGTAGTGGAGAAAGCACACTTTTCTTGGCATTGATCCGTAACCCCAGCTCTTTGATATTGGCGAGGATGACATCTCGATGTCGAGCCACCAACTGCTCCGATTGAGCTAGTATCAACCAGTCATCGATGAAGTTGAGTATGCAGATGCCCTGGAGTCGCAGTGGAGCCAGAGCAGTATCCACACACTTGGTGAAAGTGCGGGTTGAGAGTGACCAGCCGAACGGAAGAACCCAATACTGGTATGCTTCGCCCCAGAAAGCAAACCTCAGGAACCTCTTGTGTTGAGGAAGGATGGATACGTGGAAGTATGCGTCCTTGAGATCTATCGTGAGAAATCAGTCCTTGGACCTGATTTGAGACACAATCTGTTTGATAGTGAGTATCTTGAACTGAAACCGTTTGATAGCGCGGTTCAAAAGATGCAGATCTATGATTGGATGCAATCCTCCATCCTTCTTCAGAACGATGAAGTAACGGCTGTAGAACCCTGACTCTCTCGAGAGAGGAGGAACACGTTCTATGGCCTCCTTCCTCAAGAGAGTGTCTACTTCTTGTTCCAATACCAGAGCCTGCTCGGGGCCTACTAATGTAGGAATGACCCCGTTGAAGCGAGGTGGATGAGAACCGAACTGAATTCTGTAACCTCTCTCTACAGTGTGCAGGACCCATTGTGAGATATTTGGCAGAAGTGTCCACGCTGTCATAAAGTCTACTAAGGGAACCAGTCTCTCGAGACTGGCCTCTGGTGTTGCTAGAGGAGGGGACGAGCTTGAGGGGACTTGCTT